GAGAGCCACGCTTTTGCGTGACATCATTAGTGAAGCATGGCTTTTATTGGACTACCGCTCGCCGCTCACCGCTACGCCGCTCTAGTCTGAGACTTACCCCGGATCTACAATAGGGTTTTAAGCCTTAAGTCATAAGAAATGGACGAATCACAATCGATTATTCCCCTCGGATTCGACTGTAATTGGTCAGTTTCTTACGGCTTAAGTCTTAAAACATCTATTGTAGATCCGGACTTACAGTCGAATTCGAGGAGAATAATCAACCATGATTCGTCCATTTCTTATGGGCTTAAGGATTAAAACTCTATTGTAGATCCGAAGTTACAGTAATCATAAGACGTACCGTAAGAAATAAATTAGAATTAAGAATTCAAAAGAATTCTCGACTGTGATTGGCTAATCCTTAAGCCTGTCACACATGAAATGCATAACAAAGTATAAGCATAACGTAAGACCGCTGAACCAATGAGCATCTTATGTAAATCAATGTGGCGACATTATGCTGGATGGTCATTGGTCCAGCAGTCTTCTGTTATGCATTTCATATGTAACAGACTTAAAGCAGGGAGCACAGACTCTTGCAAAACACATAACACGTAATGCATAAGAAAATAAACCAATCAAAGTCGTTCGTAATATACTTTAGTAATTTATTTATGAAATTAATTCCAAATTGAATCAAATGCGAATATTGTACATCACAAAACGTTAATTAAATTATATTTTTTACTATAACATATATTAAAAGTCTGGAAACGGTCAAATATTTCGACAACAAAGCATTTTTGGGAAAAATATTTCAGACAAAAATTGTAGGGTTTAGAAAGCTCTATTCACTGATCACATCCGTTGGATCTTGGATGGCGTCACCAAGGTCAGATCAAGGTCAAATCGATTATTTTAAATAGAATATCCTACTTTTGATGGCAAAATTTAATAGCTGGTTTCAAGAGCGTTCCAAAACACTATAATAAAATTATTTTTCATTAAGTACTTTTCAAATTATAAGGCTTGAAAGTTACAGTAGGTATCGCCGGCATTAGCATTACGCAAGGTGTTCGACCGACAGCTGAAACCTCTTGAAACCGCTGTTCAGGATTATGTCCTGGATAACATTTGTCAAGGCCACTGGAGATTATTCCTCTAATTTTTATTTTTGCACTAAAAATTTTTACGTTAAAATGGAAATAAGAAGTACAACTTCCAATAGCTTCAACCTTGACGAATAATATCCAGGATGTTAAAACTTTTGATTTTGTATTCGATTGATACCTATCCAAAGAAGTTGAGTGTGGTTCCGATCCACAGACCTCTGCTGGGTAATATCACTCTTCTCCGAAAGAAGTCCAAATAAAACAGTCAGTAGATAAAATAATATATGTCTGATTTATTGCACAGAGCAGAGAGCAAATTACAAACAAAACGCTTACTTTTTGAGGAAGGGCTAGGCAGGCAAAAGAGCGCGGGCGCGTAGGCTGTAGCCTACCAACCTATCAAAGGAAAACTAAAACATATTCAATCGATGTTCCGAAAACTACCTAATACAAAGAATCCGGCAGAAAAACGTGGCGGTCGGCTAGCTTTATGATAATCTTTCTTACAGATCTTACATAAGTGAATATTCCATTCGTGTGTGTGCAAACGACTTACGAACACCTTCACTTCGCGCCATTTTTTCGATTAAGTCACGTGGAGTCTATTCGAACACTCCATCTTTCACGTATAGCTATAAACTAACTTTATGCCAAAGATGAATATTCTATGTACATTTGAAAAAATGTTATGAGAATTTCTTTGTGTACGGATTTTTTTCGAATTCATACTTTATCCCAGATAACAAGTTGCCTGTAGGTTGCTGTCAATTTGCTTGAAACTGCTTTGCTTAAGATGCCGTCAATATTTAAAAAAGCGACTTCCGATTTTGCCTATTAGATTGCTGACTTTTATTGTCACTAATTCTTATGAGTAACTTGATGACAATAGTTGCCCTCTTATAAACTGATCGTATAATAAGTTATTAGAAATCACAGGGCAATATGACGGAAACCGTTTCCACCTAAAATCTTACTCCCATAAATTGCCATAATCTGGCGACATTTTAACTGAACGTGAACGAAATGTGATCGAAGTCCTCGATAAACGTAACAAGCGTGATAACATTTTGAAGTATCAGGAGATTTTATTTACTCGGTAAACATTTAAAAAAAAAAAAGTATTATACATTCATCTTAGAGCCCTTGGGGCTCATTTCGAAAAATTCTTTCATTAGAACACAGCTGAAAAATCTTTTAATACTGCGTCTTTCATTCTATTCTATATTATTTTTTAAAATCGAGAAATGCATCAAGTTCAAATGTTTTTTAACTCGATGTATCTCTCTGGTGACAGTACCGCATATTGCTTCACGATGCTCTATTTCGAGTTGATAGAAATGTGGACTAAATATTATACGAAAACAATTTCAAACAGATTGTAACAACATTTATGGCAATAAGTTTGCTGCAGCATTTCCGCTTGTTTGCACAAACAACCGCATAATGCCTCTAGG